TCTCTACTCCCATTCATTGCTCTCTCCTCAATGTGTCTGTGCTGTTGCTCGCTTCTAATTATGACCGACTGAGGCTCAGACATGGACTGGTTTGTATGGTTGCTATAAATTGTCCCAACACAGAAAATCTGTTTCTTAATGTGGTTTCTGACACAACAGAATAAGTGTCAGATGCCGCTTGCTGTGGGCGTTGGTGGGGTCGGGGGAAGGCTGGTGTAAACCCTGTTCTGCCAGTCATCTCTCACTGGGAGCTCTCCCACGCAAGGCAGCCAGATGTAACAAATGGACAGCAAATACTGCCAACATCCAATCCCCTCCAGAAAAAAATGGAAACAATCATTACAGGAAGGCACACACTGCACAGCACCTCCATCCCAGCTCTCATCTCCTGACAGCCATCACTGCTGTCTTTGGCCATGAGAGGGAAAGAATGTCAGGGCTTCACAGATTGATATCAAACGGAGATTTATAGCTCTCTTAGGAGTTATTCCCCTCACCCATCGCTCCATTCACTGATTGCTCGCATTACTCTAATTTACTGTCTCTAATGCTCGAATCTTTCCTCATTTGGACACAGCAGCAAAGGTCAGTGTTGTCTCCTGTTAGTCAGTCTCTTATTAGATCAGACTTTCAAGTTTACATTGCTTATTCCAGCTACATAAACCTTCCCCAAATATCCATCCCCTTTGTCCCCATAGTCACTTATAAGAACATAAGAATAGAAGAATTAGGACCAGGAGTAGGTCATTCGGCTCCTCAAGCCTGCCCCACCATTCAATAAGATCATAGCTGATCTATTCTAACTCCACCTACCCGCCTTATCCCCATATCCTTTAATCCCTTTAATCCCCACACAAGAACCATTTTATCCCCCACACACACACTCTCACACACTCTGTCTATCCCCTCTCACGCACTATTTAACCCACTCCCCCCGCACACCTGTTCAGATGGATTGGGCGCAATAAGTCATTCACTTCATGGCTGTTTCATGAACGTTTCTGTGCATAGATTGGCTGCGTGTTTGTCTACAAAATACACAGTCTTTTAAGTAAAATACACTTTACTAAAAAGTAAAAATACACTTTACTAAAAAGTAAAAATACACTTTACTAAAGGCAAGTTTCCCTTGGATGCTGGTGTGTTTTTGTAGGTTTGCTAAAGATATAATCTTAAAATTAGAAGTGCCCCAGAAGGATTTAGAGGCAGAATGGGATGGTTAACGAATATTAATAATAATCCTTGCATTTGATATAGCACCTTATCACGTCTTCGAGACATCTCAAGATACTTCACAGAATATATTATAAAGTGAATTGACTGTATTTTGTGGGCGAAATGCAGCAGCCAAATGCACACATCAGTGTCCCACAAATAGTTGGGGATTGAGTGACCAAATTATTATTATTTTTATGAAGGGATTAGTACCCATGGAAAGCGATCCGCCAATCGACTAACAACCAGGTGCCTACTTACTTAAGCAAGGTAAACAGAGGCGTGTAGAGAAATTTGCCCAACATTTAACCCTGCCTGGGAATCAAACCCAGGTCCTCTTGCTTGGAAGGCGAGTGCTCTAACCACTAAGGTACAGGACTCCACAATTGGATAGAGGGATATTTATCACTTAATAATAATAAGCCGTGCAAATGATATCACGGCTTGTGTCTCAAAACTCTTCACAGAAGTGTTGTTTGTGGTTTATTTCGGGAATTTATTGGTGAGGACATCGGGAGAAACTCCCTTCTCTTTTCAAATAGTGTCACAGGATCTTTAAAGTCCACTTGAACAGGGGCAGACGAGACCTCAGTTTAGGTGTTTATCCTATCCGCACCTTCAACAATGCAAAATGCCCCCAGCACTGCCCTGGAGCGGCACCCTCGTCTGTGAGATCCAGATCCAAATCAGTCAGTGTCAGTCCAAATCCTGACGACCTCCACACACTGAGGCGAGAAAGCTTCCAACTGAGCCAGGCTTACACATTATTTGCTTGCAAGAGATGTGGGGAAGGGGCAGGGAAATGGGATTAAATCTGTTGTGATGTAATACACTGGCAAAATCCTCATGGGATGAACGTCCTCCTGTTTCTAAGCAGCTGGAAGGTTTCTTTGCAGCAGCTGTTTTCAGTGAAGCAGAGCCACGTTGCAGGCACTTCACTCTGAGTGACATCAGCAAACTCGAGCTCACCACCATGGGCCGCTGGCTGTAATGCTGTGAGATACTCCCTGTGACAGGCCATCACCACAGGTCCCATTCAGTCTCACGTCCTTGTCTGGGAGTGAGATACAGGCTGGAGTCTACTGAAGAGGTTGAGGGTTTTATGAATAGAATGACAGACCCCAGGAGAGCAACCTCACCCAGCTTGGCTGTGTGGCCTCTTACCAGTCCAGCCTGACTGTGATGGGACAGTCACCCGGTCTGACACCCGGAGGCCATCACCATGCTATATATGCAAGCAATCTAAACTTGGAAATCCCCGTTTATTAGAATGGAATATGCACTCTCTACCTGGAAGGAAGTCCTCAAGAGGGTCTTGAGATGGGTCTTGAAGGAGGCAAGGGAGGGGAACAAGGCAGAGGGACTGTGGGATGGAGTTCCAGAAGGTGGGGGCAGAGTGGCAGAATGCCTGCCCACCAATGGTGGGGTGGGCGAGGCGGGGACGTGAAAGCAGGCTGTACGGAGGAGGCGGGCAGGATGGTAGGGGGTTAAGAGGTCGCAGAGGTAGTGGGGAGCAAGGCAGTGGAGGGCATTCCAGGATCTTGAACTGGAATCTACAGTGTGATCGGATTCTCTGAGTGATGGGAAGCCAGTGGAGTCGGGCGAGGATGGGGGTGATGGGGTCATGGAGCCTGGTCCAGAAGAGGACACGGGCTGCAGAGTTCTGGATGATCTGCAGCCTATGGAGGGAGGAGTTAGGGAGGCTGATAAGAAAGGAGTTTGCATAGTGAAGCCTCGATGTTATGAATGCATGTGTGAGGATTTCTGTGGCTTGTGGTGTGAGACAGTGGCAGAGCCGGGTGATTTTGCGGAGGTGGGGGGAGGCAGAGCGGATCATGGCACAGATGTGAGGTAGAAAGGATAGTTGAGGATCAAACAAGATGCCAAGGTTCCGGACTGGCTTAGCAAGGTGGATGGTGTAACCATGGACGGTGATGCTATCAGTGCCTGAGGTGTGGAGGCTCTGACAGGAGCCAATCAGGAGAGCCTCGGTCTTGTTGATACTTAACTGAAGAAAGTTAACTCTCATCCAGGATTTGATGTCTGACAGACATTGTGTCAGGACAGCAGTGGTTCTGGAGTCGAGAGTGGAGGCAGAGAGATAGAGTTGGGTGTCATCCGCATACATGTGGAAGTTGACCCCATGTCTGTGGATGATGTCACCAAGAGGAGCTTGTAGATGTTGAAGAGGAGGGGACCAAGGACAGAGCCCTGAGGAACACTGCACGAGACAGTGCAGGGGCTAGAGGAGAAGCCGTTTGTGGAAATGACATGGAGGTGTTGTGAGAGGTAGGATCTGAAACATTCAAAGGCAGAAATGTGAAGCAATCACACATGTTCATTCCCACAGGGTCACGGGATAGATACTGGCCTGGTAGCTGCAGTTTACTCGCTTCCCTTTCCTGGTCCTTCACCACCTGAGCTCAGTCATTGACTCGTCCACTAAAACCAATGAGAACTGTGTCTAATTTAATTTTTGTTGCAGCAGTGCGATTCTCAGTATTGAGCAGCTTGAAATCCTCTGCCAGAACTTCAGTCAGTCAGTGTGGAGCTGGGCTCCTGGATCAGCTCAGAGCCATGGACTCTGTGAAGTCACCAGGTTGCGAGTGGTTGGGATGAAGAAAGGCCTTTGACCTACTTGATCCTTCCAGGATCCCACTTCCCATTCTCCCAGTCATTCCTGGTCTGGGATTCTTCCCACTCAGCTTCTGTTAACCAAACAACAGCAACCTGTATTGCTATAATGCCCTGCTTGGTTAACAGCGCATCTCGGAGCACTGTTAACTAAAGCATTTACAGGTCGGGTGGACCGAGACAGACAAGAGACAGGAAGCTATTTACGATAAGACGCTGTGACTTTTATCTGGTTCATTTCCAGCTGGTGTTCCAACACACACACTGGGGCCTTTACATTTACCCGCCAGCAGCTAATACCCTGGAATTAGGTAGGGAGGGTATTCCTGTGCAATTCCACTCCAGACAAATGGAAACCAGACGAATGTGGACTGTCAGGAATTTGGTTTGGGGAGTTGAGCAGCGAGCCGGATTTCCATGTCTCAGACACCTGCCTGGCCAGAAACAAATAACTTCTGCTGAGTGTTGCCAGCGGAGCCAGGCCTGTGAGTTATACATATTTATTAAACTCAAGTTTAGCGAGGTCTGGCATTTGTATAGCACCTTATCAGTTCTAATGTCTCACTTCACAGGTCACTTCAGTCAAGTGTTGTGACTGTAGGAGAGAAATTCCATTCAGGTCTAGATTTACTATATTTATGTAATAGGAGACGATTTCAGTGTTCAGAATTTTGCAAATTCCAAATCCAGCCTTAACTTTGAAGTTTCTTTTGGATTTCTTTTAAGAACTACAGAAAGCACATTTCAAAGTCAAGACTGAATTCACTTTTTGCCAAATTTTGGCCACTCTCAAATGTGACAAACAGCATAAATCTACAGTGGGTGTTTCACTTTGTGTGTTTGTCAGGGTCTACACTCCCATGTCTGAATGGCCAGTGTAGCTGTGTACAGTGTATAGAATGAGCCCTGACTGCACTGAGTTTCATTGCAGCCTATTAACAACGCACGCTGTTGTGTGCAAACTGGATGTCAGGGAAATGGCCACAGCACACAGCAGGTTTGTGCTGTTTAGCCCACTGACTGGGGTAGTGTGTGTGTTTGTGTGTGCGCTGTGCACACTGCTGTGGTTCCCTCCCACTCTGCCTTGCCTTTCCTCTGGTGCCATTCTCTGTCCATTATTGACTGATCCGTCTCTTCATTATCTTTTGCAGGATGTGGTGTGGGGACTAAACTCCTTATTCACTGTAAGTATCTCCTCATTGGGCACAGTCCACAGAGTAAAAGAATAATATGAGTTCTGTTACGTAGTGGATAGAGTGCTCGCCTTGCAAGCAAGAGGGCCTGGGTTTAATTCTCGAGCAGAGCAGTTTCTATACAAATGCCAGACCTTGCTAAACTTGAGTCTAATAAATATGTATAACTCACTTAGCGAAGTTTCCTTACTCCAGATGCCTCTGTTTACCTAGCAGTAAGTAGAACCCCGGTTGTTTACCCCGGTGAATCGCTTTTCCAGGGTAATAATCTTCTTTCACTCAATCCACAACTGTTTGCGGGACACTGCTTTGCACAATTGGCTGCCACTTTTCGCCCAAAAAATATACAGTCAATTCAATTTATATTGTATTCTGTGAAGCGCTTTGAGTCTTCTCAATGCTTGATAAGGTGCTATATCATATGAGGATTATATTATTATTATTGTAAGTGGGTTCTCAGTGGATGGTTTGAGGCCAGGGAAGTGTAAAGTTGAGAGTCAGCTGTACCGCTCTTAGTTGTGTTCATGGGAGCAGATTGAGGAGGTGAATAACCTGCCGATTTCTGAATATTGTGAGTACGACGAGTGCTGTAGAGCGATAAAGCTGATTCTGTCCCGACTCAGGAGCACCACATGGACAGCTCGACTGTGCTCTGTCCCTGGGTCGGGGAAGGAGAAATCAGCTAAGGTTGCACCTGATCCCACTGCTTTTGTGTGCTCGCTGTGAGGCTCCAGCATTGAACCTTCACTGGCACTCGATCATTCACCTCACATGTGGACAAGGTCCTGATAGTCCCCACATCATACACTGCAGGCTGGAATCCGATCCAGGGCTTTATACAGAAAGTAACCCACACCAAGGAGTCAGTAACAGGATAGAATTTATGACCGTAGAATAATTTAACAGAGCAGTGGTTACCGTGGTAACAGCAGACACACGCCCTACGCCTACAGGTGCCCTTTGACACTGCTTTCAGCCTTGTTTGCTTAAATATGACCTCAGTCTGTTTACAGTGTGTTACAGTCAGCATCAGTGTGATTCACCCCCACCCTGAGCTTCACCCACCATTGTGTTAACTGTCCAACAACAACTTGCGTTTATATCGTGCCCTTCACCCAGAATAGTGTCTCCAGGTGCTGTCCAGTGACAGTGCTGGACTCCCTCCCTTGCTCTCTCCCCCCTCCGCTGCACTCTCCCACCTCCCCCGCTCTCTCGCTTTTTCCCGCTCTCTTTCACTCCCCCGATTTCTTCCGCCTCGCTCTCATTTTTTCCTGCTCTTATCCCCTCCGCCGCTCACTCCCACTCCCCTCGCTCGCTCCTGGCTCTTCCGCGCGCTCACCCTTCTCTACTCTCTCCTCCCTCCCTCATACTCTCCCACCTCTCCAGCTGTCTCCCCCCTACCCTGTTCGCTCCCCCATTCCCACTCGCTAACCCCTCCCCACTCTCTCCTCGCTCCCCCGCGCTCTCCCCCCGCCCCCGCTCTCTCCCTCCTTCCCCACTTCCCATTCCCCTGCTCTCTTCCACCTATTCCGCTTTCTCTCTTTTTCCCGGTCTCTCCTACTCGCCCCGCTCTCTCCCATTGTCCTGCTCTCCCCCCTCCCCCGCTCTCCCTTTTCCCTCTCTCTCCTACTCCCGCTGCTCTCTTCTCCCTCCCCTGTTCTCTCCCTTTATTCTGCGCTCTCCCACTCCCACCGCTCTCTCGCCTCTCCCACTTTCTGCCATTCCCCCCGCTGTCTTCTCGCTCGCTCCTCCCTCCCCCGCTCTCTCCTCCCTCCCCCACTTGCTCCCTATTCCCCCACTCGCTTCCCCCTCTCCCGCTCTCTTCCACCACCCTCGCTCTCTCCAAATCTCCCCACTCTCTCCCCCCTCCCCACCTCTCCCCCTCCCCCTCGCTGCCTCCTCCCCCACTCCTCCATGCGCTCACCCCTACCCACTTCCTCCTCTCTCCCCCGCTTCCTCCCCCCAGATCCCTCCCCCCTCCCCCGCTCGCTTCTCCCTCCCCCACCCCCACTCGCTCCCACTTCCCACGCTCTGTCCCCCCTCCCCTCCACTGCTCTCTCCCTTTTCCCCACTCTCTCATACTCCCCCCACGCTCTCCCCACTCGCTCCCCTCCTCCACTCTTTCCCAATTCCACCACTCTCTACCCCCACTGCTTTCTACCCCCTCCCTCACACTCTCCCCCTTCCCCCCCCTCTCTCCCTCCTCCCCCACTCGCTCCCCCATCCCCGCTCTCTCCCGCTCTCCCTTTTTCCCATTCTCTCCCCCTCCCCCACTCTCTCCCACTCCCCCCGCTTTCTCTCCCGCCTCCCCCGCTCTCTCCCTCCCTCAACTTTCTCGCCCCTCCCCCACTCTCTCCCCCTTCCCTCGCTCTCTCCCCCCTCCTCCGCTTTCTCTCCCCCTCCTCCACTGGGGGACAGATTCTAACCCTGACTGCACACTGTAACTCTGATGCATTCTTTGCTACAGGATCTGCTGAATTTCGATGATCCTCTCAACATCGAAGCCGCTGAGCATCATCTTCGTGACAAGGTGGGTCGTGCCTGTGGGAACATCAGGACTTACTGGCTGTATCGTCCACACACACACACACACACTCTCTCTCTTTGTCTGTCTCTCTTCCTTCTTCCCTTGGTCACAATACAGAAGCAGTGCTGAGCATTGGCTCGCTGCATCCCCAGTTGTTCTGGCCCCACCCCTCCTGCCCCCACCCCTCCTGCCCCAACAGTGATCTGAGTTTGGTGGATGCTTTTAGTTGTGCGGTTCTAATAGCTGCTGCTTGCTCTGCCTGGTGTGAGCTGCCTCAGGCTCCCCTCCGTAGTCTCCCCTGATCATTGAGCGGCTCTCTGCAGCATTGCAGCGTGCTGTTCACAGTTGCTGCCTGAGCTCCTTCCATGCTACACATTGTACAGAATAAATCTCCCCCAGGAGTGAGTCACAGGCAGCAACCTAATCCAGGGGAAAAGGCGGTTTATATATAAACTATAACCTCCCACACATGGAGTGAGTCACAACCTGTAATCTAATCCAGGGGCTTGGAGCAGTTATTTGCAGAATCCCCCCCCCCCACAGGATTCAGTTACATGCAGGAATATGATGCAGGGGCTCAGAGCGGTTTATATGTGGAATAATTCACCCAGAGTGAGTCACAGCCTGGAATCTAATCCAGGGTCTCGGTTTATACATAGAATAACTCCCCTCTGCCCCCCACTGGGAGTGAGATACCAGCTGTAATGCAATCCAGTATGGGGGAGGGAGAGGTTATATATGGAATAAGTATCCCAAGAGCGTTTCAGGCTGGGAACTGATCCACACGATCACGGCTTTTGTACATAAAGAAATGCTCCTTGATGGAGATGGTTTGCGTTGCTAATACAAACCTTTGCTTTTGCTAGTTACCTATGGATCATACAGACATACAGGCTTCGCTGCATTTAGCCGGCCTCCCCGCAGATTGTAAAACAAGCCCAGCTTCCGAATCAAGATCGAATTGAAGTCCATGATAAAAGCTTTCCCCATTATCTTTAACTCCAGTTAGCTGGCAGCGAGCAACGCGTTCTCCCACTCTCATTCCTCCTTGGTCAGTCCACAATCCGCTGCAGGAAGCTTCCTGGGAACACCTCCTGCTCTCAGCCATTACCACGTTTACCATTTTGCACTCGTCAAACAAACAACAACAGCAAAATTACATTTGTATAGCACCTTTCACTCGTGCTTATTGGATGTCAGAACGACCAACTAGTGACTATCCTCCTGGAGTGGGGAGGTAAGTGGGGTCTCCTTGGAGCTGAACTTGTTCTAAGGTGAGATGCTTGGCAATGGAATGTCGGAATCCAGCCAGCCCTCTGTGGCGGTCTCGGTAGTCCAGTTCCTAAGGCAGATGGGTTCACAGTATTCAAGGGCATTACCGATATCATCAGCAGGATTTGAAAGGGCAGACCAGTCACTGGAGGCAGGGAATCATTCCACTCAGCTCCTTTTAACCCTGCAAGCCAAACTCGTAATGGGTAGGGTGGTCTTAGCTGGACAAGCAGCAGGAAAGCTTGTCAGACAATGCTCTCGGTAAGCTATGCAGATTTAGCTAGTGAGACACACCATCAGTTACTCCAAAATAAACTTGGGTCCCCATGCCTTGACTCTTGCCAACCTGGTCCTAATATCCTCCAGAATTAGGTAAGCAGGATGCGTCCCTCCAGGAAGAGAGTGAGCATCCTAGTCCAACACATGGGAATTTCCATTTATAGAGGGATGCATGGAACTCTGGTTTGGAGACTCTTAAGCAGCATGGTGATGTGTTTCCACGTGTGTCAGACATCTAGTTGAACAAGTAAAATAAAGTCAATCTGGAGACAATCTGCTGCCAGTAACCTCCTGGCTCAGTTGGAAGCACCCTCGCCTCTGATTCAGGAATTTATGCATTCATGCCCCATGTCAAGACTGAGTTCACAGTCTGGGCTCCAATACAGTGCTGCTTCAGCAGAGGTTTCAGCCTTCGGTTGAGCCATTAAACTGACGTCTTGTCTGCCAGTTTGAGTGATGTTAAGGATCCTACAGCATTCAAACAGAAAAGGGTGTCTCCCAGGGTCCTGGATGCCAAATCTCCAGATGAATTTAGTCAATGAATTCCTGGCTGTTTGCATGTTTTTCTGCGTTTGCCACTACCTCTTCCCTCGCCATTAAATCCCTCCACAATCCTCCCCCGTCTAAACTCTGCTACCTCCTTCAACCCTTACCGAGGCTCCTCCCTTCGCTCTGCGGTCACTGGCCTGCTTCTCGTGTCCCCGCTCTGCCCGTCCCACCATCAGTGGGCGGGCTTTCAGCCATTCTGCCCCCCTGTCTGGAATTCTATGCCGGAATCTCCTCTGACTCACTCCCTGGTCAAGGATTCGAGGACGAGAAGGCATGAGTTTAAGGAGTAACTCGGGGAGTAACTGACAGTCAATGGCTGGTCAGGGTGGGGTGATCAGGTTAGAGAGTGATTTGCCAGGGGGAGCCTGTTAGACCAGAGTTGATTCTCATTTACAAGAAAATTAGACACATGCAGTATATGACGAGAAAGGTGATGAGGGTGACAGAGATAGAGCAGGGAATTGGGATTAGGATGGACATAGGAGCAAACAGTGAAATGCAATAAAAGGCTGAGTGGCCTCTTCTTGTGTCATACATTTCTATATTCTGTAAATATATATTTTGTAGCCAATTAACTGACCGTGAGCACAAAGTCCCAAAGCTCGAGGCTTGAATTCACAACTTTCTGACTCGGGTGACATAAGGTACACATAGGGAGACAAGTATATATATACACATGTTCACGTGCATGTGCACACTTATGCACATACGTATACACACATGGACAGACACACTCACACAGAGCAGTCCAAAAGCAGACATTGTAATTGTGATTTAATATGATAAACATTAATCCCAGAGTAAATTAAAAACTGTTTAGCAGAGTTCATTAAGAATTCACTGCAATGCCTTTGTCACCTTCTGTATGTTGGGAACATTCTGTGGACAGTGAGCCAAACCAGCGTCTGCTTGGTTCATCAGCTGGATAACAGCACTTTTACATTTATACAACACCATTCACATAGCTGCCTGGGACCCAGCGGAGGGGGGAAGGGGACCAAAAGTAATTAAAAAGAAAGGTCCAAGGAAGGAGGTGGAATTACAGGGATGGATTGAGTACCAGAAAACTGGGTGGAGTGGCAGAAAACTCACCTGCAATGGTGTGGATGCCACGGAGCAGACTCGTACCCTCTGAGCAAAGGGAGCGACTGGGGCGGAATGATTTGAGGAAGCGGCAGTGCTGGTGGGGGGTGAAAACATGGAAAGATTTAAAGGTAAGAATGAGGATCATGAGCTTGATCCATTGAGGGATGGGGAGAAAAAGGAACTGAATGTGGATAATAATGATCCTTACATTTGGTCCAGTGCCTTTTACATGAGCAGGATGCCCTTTGGAAGAGCTACTCATTCAGTCCTGCTCTTTCCCCATATCCTTGCAAATTTTTCCTTTTCAAGTAAGGCCTTTGATACAGTTCGTCTTGAGAGGCTGATACTGAAATTAAAGAAAGCTAAATCAGTGGAGGAACATTACATTGGATACATAACTGGTTGACCGGAAGAACCCAGAGGGTGCGGTTTAAGGAATATCGTGAGACTGGGAAAATATTACCAGTGGGGTTCCACTGTTTTGGGACCTCTTTTGTTTGATATTTTTATAAATATAAATCTAAAGTTTGCAGGTGACACCAAGCTAATGAAGGTGGTAGATTGCAAAGCTGAACAAGATAGGTTGCAGGAGGATTTGAATATACTAGGGAATTGGGCAGATCAATGGTAGATGAAATTTAATGTGGAAAAATGTAAAGTACTTCACATGGGGACAAAAAATCCAGGAAGGGGCAATTATTTGAACGGAAAGAAAATAATATGTATGGAAAATGAAAAGGACTTGGGGTAAATTGAAGCTGTCGCAACAATGCTCTGTGGCAGTGAGTAAAGTAAACCAGATTTTGGGATGTATCAAAAGATAAATAGCAACCCGAAATATGTGGTAATCCTGCCACTGTATAAATTATTGGTGAGACCAAACTTAAAGAGTAATGTGTACAGTTCTGGTCGCCGCAGTAAAAAAATTATATGGGAGAAATTGAGAGTATTCAGAGGAGGGCATCCATAATGATTAATAATAATAATAATATTCCATGAATTTGATATAGCGCTTTTCACGTTGGGAGGACGTCCCAAAGCGCTTCACTGTAAAGTGAATTGACTGTATATTTGTGGGCGAACGCAGCAGCCAATTGCGCACAGCAATGTCCCACAAACAGTCGTAGATTGAAAATGACCAATTTATTATTGTTTTGGGCTTTGGAGGGATTATTAGGCTCTGTGTGGAGTAAGGAAACTTGCCCAAGGTTTCACCCTCTGCTGGGAATTGAACTCGGGTCTCTCGCTCGCAAAGCGAGTGCTCTAACCACTGAGCTACAGGATTCCACAATTGATTGAGGGAATGGAGGGACTGGATGGACTATGAGGAGAGACTAAGTAAATTGGGTCTGTTCACGCTGAAAAAGAGAGGATTGAGAGGCTATATCATTGCTGTCTTTAAGATTCTAAAAGGGCTAGCCGATGTAGATCATGACAGACTGCTTTAAGGAGAACAATCCCAGCTTCTCTCGTCTCTCCACATAACTAAAGTCTCTCATTCCTGATACCATTCTGGTAAATCTCCTCTGCACCCTCTCCAAGGCCTTGATATCCCTCCTAAAGTGTGGTGCCCAGAATTGGACACAATACTCCAGCTGAGGCCTAACTAGTAGCTTGTAATGGTTTAGAGGAACTTCCTTGCTTTTGTACTATATGCCTTGATTTATAAAGCTAAGGATACCATATTTTTTTAACAGCTCTTAACAATCTGTCCTGCCATCTTCAAAGACCTGTGTAATAATAAGAACATAAGAATTAGGGCAGGAGTAGGCCATTCGGCCCCTCGAGCCTACCCCGCCATTCAATGGGGTGGGGGT